ATACACCCAATCGAAAGTGGAAAAAAATAATCGCTCGAAAATTTTCACGAGTAAAATTCATTTTTTGGCTGAGACGCAATTTACATGTTACGGTAAACAATACAAATAACGATCGAATGACAAAACGTTCTGAGAACGTTTATGCTACAAAATGTTAAACTTAACGAATATGACAATGGTTTGCATCGGGCAATACTAAAACATACATATTGAAGAAACTTAAATAGTCGCCTACGTATATTGGCTCATTGTGTGTGTATACGTGTTCTTCGTTTTATTTCATCAGTGCGAACTATATGAATCTACAATACAATATAATTAAATGAAACTAAATATACTAGATATTGGTGTGTGTTTTTTTATCAAAATTTTACTTTAGTTTGACCAAAGTGAAAATAAAAAAAAATATTTGTTTCGCAACAATCAAGCAAATAAACGGGAAAATCATGAATGATTTACTTGAAGCCAATAGACATTATCTTAATTTGAATGCATGTTGTTTTTAAATTTTCCTTCTTCGTTCAGTCTATGGGTTGAAGTTGTTGTTACGAATGCCGGTAATGGATGCAGCCACAATGTTTTCAAACCCAATCAAATCGTCTTTGCCCACGCGCATGCACATGCGGCTTTTGTAATAAAATATTAAAATATGTGCGGTATCGGCTCGATAATATCTATCGATATTACATAGTTTGAGCGTTTTCAAAAAAAATATTCACGTTATAACCGCAAAAAATGTATGAAAATTTATTATTTTCATATAAAAAATTCGATGAAACACAAGCATAAAAAACATAACCTAAAAAAAATAATAATATAAGAACCGGTGTTTATTGTGATGACTTTTCGAATTTGTGCATTTGTTTGGTCTGGAATCATTTCATGATAGTGAAGTCAGTTTGAGTTTTTGAGAAATTATTCAGAAGCGTCCGATTATACTGATACGACCACCCATTTTATTGCATATGTCAATGCGTTTAATGACAAATGTCAATTGAATCTCGTACTTTTTAATATTTTGTCTAGTACTTATTTTTACAGTGTATGAGAAAATAAAAGAATAGCTATTTTGATTACCCCCATGACGCATACGGACAGCGATTTTATAATACAATAGTGCGGTCATTCCTGAGTCGCATCTCCTTTTTGTTTTATCAAAGAAAAAAGTTTATTTGAGTTTTTATTAAACCTCTAAACCGAAAAGTATTTCGATTGTGAATTGTGAAAAACATTTTTCCGTTAATTCGTAAAAATTCTGTGTGTGTTTTTTTTGAAAAAGAAAAAGTGTTAAAACTAATGAATTTTGATTGCCATTTGCAAAAGAAAAACTGCAGTGTGCCAAATTTTGAGTAAATAAAATTGTGAGAAAAAGAAAAAGAGGGCAGTCACGGCATATTGTGGAAAAATGAGTGAAGTGCGTGAAATTAACTGCCATTTGTGTTTCACCACTAACACGCGTGCTTATTGGTATGTGTGTAAACGAGCCGTTGGAGACAATTGTGGCACGCAAATCTATAGTTCTGGAAAATAAAATGTGGTTTTCGGGATTCCAAAATTTAAAAATTTTGATAGATTTCCTTCGAATAATAATTTTTTCTAATTTTTGTATGGGAGCCATGCCTGTATGCTACCTTAATGACGTGAAAATTTGCACAGACTATTTTTTACACAAAAAAATAACATTCTGAAAGTTTGAAGAGATTTCAATCAAAATTAGGGTTACCTCCCATACAAAATTTATATATATTTTGTATGGGACGTACTCTTAATTTTGGTTGAAATTTCTCCAAAACCTCCGAATGTTATTATTTTGTGAAAAAAATAACCTGTACAAAGTTTCACGCCATTAAGGTAGCATACAGACATGGCTCCCATCATGGGAGCGACGTGAAAAAACTTGACATCAGCGCCAGTCCATCATAACTAAAAATGGTACAAATTCGCAATAGATGGCGCTTATAAATCGACAAACACGCTTACATTTTATTAGAAGATCTCATCTCTTGCTTTCACTTACGTAAGCAAAATAACGAGGGATGCGACGTGATGTTTTTCTCGCAGCTTCTCATATGTCGGTCGCAACACAATTTCAAACTCAACTGGTTACTAAGTTTTGAGTTTTGAATTGAACGTCCAATCAACTGTTTATAACCGTTTAAACGGGGAGAATGCATGTGTGCGTGCCATCCGTTTCGTATGCGTTAGCCGCACGAGTTCAGCATTTCTCAGCTCTCAGCTATATGCTGAGCAGCAGCAAATCAAGATGTTCTGTTTATTTTATCGTATATGATATCTCAGTGTGCCTTTGTGCACATGTTTTATGTTGTCTGTCAAGCTATATTGCGCATGATACACAACAGTGTCGAGTGTAGTGTACACTATACGATATACATGATGTGCACTATAGTCAACACCGTTGCGTGTGTATCTTGTCGACAGTCAGTATAGCATAATGAAATATCATATATGATAAAATAAATTGAGTGCTTTAAAATATCTTATAAAATTATAATTATATAGTTATAACTAATTTCTTCTTGAAAACTTCTGTGCATTTTGAAAATAAAACAAATACAACATTTTTTGACATTTCGAAACAACAAATATCACATTTGATATTTTCTATAGTACTTTAAAACCATTATAATCAGAGAAGCACTAGAAGGCACTCCATTTAAATTTATTTAAATTAAAATTATTAAATTAAATATTTTGAAAATATTTCAATATTTTTCATTTTTCTTCTGATAAAATGTAAGTGTGTTTGTCGATTTATAAGCGCCATCTATTGCGAATTTGTACCATTTTTAGTTAAGAGGGACTGGCTCTGATGTCAAATTTTTAATCGTACGTTTCACGTCGCTCCCCTGGCTCCCATACAAAAATCCAAATTTTTTGTGACTTTAGTTATGAAAAGTGTTTCAAAAATAATTTTTATGGCAAAATTAACGTCAGACATATTTTTATAGCGCTTTGTTAGAAAATAGAATACTTTTAAATGTCATACAAATGAGTTCATCATGATAGTGTGAAAAATCTTTTGCGAGTACATCTGCTATTAAATTAAAGAATATTTCGATGCCGAATAAAAAAAAATAAAGAAAAATACGCATCTACCACCGTGCGGAAAAGTTCGTCTTACTCCTGTAAGACTCTTTATTTTAGTCCATGATGGCATAGTTTATTATTTCCGTTGCAAGGATCAGATCGGATATTTTGGCGCGGACTCTAACATCACGCTGGAAAACATTCGTTTGACGCAATTTTATCAAAATTGGTTCGAGGACAAGAAGAGGGTCCGCTATGCAAGAATTGGAATTCCACGAATATGAACGTACTGAAAAGGATGGTTATCGACCTGATTGGCGATGAGCCATTAGACTTGACAGTAGACACACGAAATAGCATGCAAGATTTTACTGCTGTGTACGGAGTGTACACGTTTAATTGGCAAGTCACCAGCAAGCATGGAATGGAGGTGGAGATTATTTCGTCAGCTTTCTTATGGCATGCTTATATGAAACTCTAGGAGACTCGGTATAACGCACAAAAATATTGAAAAAAAATTGTTTACAAAAATTTATCCAAAAATAAAGAGGCTTACGTACGCAAGCTGACTTTTCCGCATGGAACCGAAATTTTGGGAATAAACTGAAATTATGTGCATTAAGTTTACATTAAAGTCATTGTTCTAGTACTAATTTGCCCCTTGCTTCGAACACAATCAGTTCAATATATAACATTTACAAAATACGATTGAAACAATAATAACTTTATTATCTAGAAATAAAATTGGAACCCCTTTCATGACCGTATTGAAAAAAATGAGAAATTGTGAAACAAAAAAATCAAGTATGATTCATATGAAAGTTGATTGAGTCCAAGCATCTTTCAAAATAAAAGAATTTCAGATAAAGTATTTATGCATACATGTAGTTTTTGTGTATACAAAGTAAATTTTTTGTATTTCCATTTTACGCTTTATTCAGGACGCTACATTTCTGAGCATCAAACATTTTTTTGCGCTTATGGTGGGAGCTAGAAAACCAAAAATTGCCTCGTTTTTAAGGCAAAATAATTTGTAGCGGAATGTTGATAAATTTTCTCACACACTCTCAACGGAAAATGTCATCAAGAATGTGTTGTTGTGTATAAAAACCTATAATTTCCATGTATTTTTATTGGATGAAATTTGCATTATCGTTGCATATTGGCATATCGTTGAAATATCGGCGGAATATCCGCATATCTGTAAAATATCGGCTATATTCGGGTATTTTTTGGTAATTAATTGTTCTGGAAGTGGGCTTTGGTGGATCCTCTGGATGGACCAGACCATGGTTTGACAATCCCTTGGCCCATCCTGAGGGTCCACTTCCAGAACTGGGAGCGGTTCTGATGATCCTGAGGATCCGCCAAAGCCCACTTCCAGAACACACACACTTCGCATATCGGCCAATATCGGTGGATTTTTGGCACAAAATAGTGAAATTGGTAAAAATTTGCATTATTTGTAAACATTTGCATCATTTGTTATACAGTATATTTGTTTATTTGTCGAATTCGGGAAAAAAAATCTTACATGAAAGCCCCTAGATCAAAACATTTTAAAGGTCATTTTTTTTTTGTAAAAGCATATACAATACAATTCAAATTAAAAGATGAGTAAACTTTCTACTTGTATAATTTTCAACCGTAATAAATGAAAAATATAGAATAATTTCAATAACTATGTTTTTCATATTGTGACTTTAATCAAAACATTTTGACAATTGTGAGTAATCCCTTTTACAATATTGAATATGTCTATTATAATTGTCAATTGGTTGATATACAGAAACATTCAAAAATTATAATCAAAGTCAAATAAATAAGAAAACGAAAATAAAAATTCACTGCACATATTTATATCATGATTATTGATAAACTATGACTTTTAAAAATATTCAGAAGGATCTACTTGTTGTGTAAGAGATATATATATATATAAGCTCAGCTTCATTCAAGATAGCAGTTACGATTCCATTTTGCAGAAAGTCGCACAAGTGTAAAATAAAAAAATAAAATAAAATGAAGTTACTTCCAAATTTACTTGTTTTCGGATTTATCCAGGTTTAATAAACATACTCGCCTTTGATGAATTACTTATGTAATGATTTTCTTCACAAATTTCAAGATTTGTTTTGCCGCATCGTTGGTGAAAAGACAGGCAGATTCATTGACTTCTTCAAATATTCATCTACTTCGAAATGAACTAGTAAAAATCCCAAATGCCGATACAAAGGCTATTGACAATTTTGTGAAAACTTTGGAGGTTTTTGAAAAAAATTCTACTGAACAACAATTTGACGGAATGGTGTGTGATTTTTAATTACATGCATTTAAAATAGTAATATATCTTGTTTCAAATTATTTTAAGGTGAAACTTCTGGCTCTTGCCATGGATGTAGATTATCTGAAACTCAATCAAACATTAACAGAAGTTGATAAAAGTGAAGAAAACGAAGCCGGTGATAATAATGAGTTAATTTCTGGAGAATCTAATAGTTCAGAAGAATATATGACCGAGGATCAACTGAAGAAATTAGAAACAGCACTTTCGTCACAATTTACACAATCACAAACTGAAATTGCAATGAAATTTTTCCACGCTATGGACAAAGACGCTTCATCGGAAGAGAGTGAATCTGCTATAGTAGGCTACATTCAAACTTATACGGAATTGTGTTGAATTTTTAATCAATATTTATTTATATTGCAGGTTATTCTTTTTATGACACCAATTTACCGTGCTTTTAATTTAACCAAGACAATTTAATGATACTAATACTATCGAAGCAATTCACAATTGACTTAGCAATGCACTTTTTTTTAAACATTTGTTTTATTAATCAAGCAAAATACTCTGCAATCACGATTTGAATAAATGTTAATATTCACATAAGGTTATTTGATTTTTCAATGTCAAATGTTTGACGACCCATGTGACCTGTTTGAGTTAGACTTTGAAACCACACAGCCTGTTGATTATTCACATACTTTGAATTTAATTTTTGTGTTATTTGGTATTGTATTAAAGAAATTTTTACAATTGAAAATAGATACTTTCTTTTGCTCGCTATAATTTTGTCATGTTTATTCTTTACTATGAAAGAACAAATACGAAAAGACCGTTAAAAAATAGCTTACTGCTCATAGTATGAGCCTCATACACACTTGAAGTCGAGTAGACTTGTGTGTTTCATATATTCATATAATTGTGCACGTGCACAGAGGGAAAAAATTTAATGCTATATTTAATTCAATTTTGATAAATTTAATATACATTTTTGAGATCTATGAAGCATGTTTTTCAAAAGAGACCATTTGTTGAATAAATTTTACTATTGCTTTATTAAATTCACCAAATTCATGTTTTCTAAAAGTCGGAAACAGAAACTTGATGACGTGTTGGTGTAGTGTGTATATGTAAATATTGACTGGTTGAGGAGAAGTAATGGTGGCATGAACGATGTTTTATTAATTGAAACACTCTACTTTAGTTTAAAGATGAATTAAACTTTATTCTGTTGGACTGATTATTTTAGACATACATTTTGATGGTCAATATGTTATTTTGATGATGTTAGATGGTCAAAACTTATAATAATAATGTCGATGATAACGGTTAGGGGGGGAGACACAAACGATTAAACCATGATTCCAATATATAAACAGTAATCCTACTATTCCACCAATCCGTCATTTCATTGTCAAATATGATGTCACATTTCGCCGCTATTCACTTTGTTGAAAACTTATTTATCGACACTGGAGTATGACATTTTGTTATTGATAATTAAAATTATTTTTTTCATCAATAAAATTTTGAGAAAGTCTATCTATTGTTTTGTAAATTTGTAATCGACTTTTAAACAAAAAAATATCTCAAAAAAGAACAAATTACTATCTCAAAACAAGTTCAATGCTTTGATCAAATTCTGTACTATCGATTACAAAAACATTGAATCTAACCCATTTTCGCTATTCCATACATGGGATTAGTGAATCCATGTGAATCCAACTACTGAATTGTCTATTCCACTTTAATTTCTCGAATTTTTACACTAAAAGTCTAATCCTATTCCACGTGTCTACCCCCTAGTCTTTCATATCATGTAAATAATATACATTTCATAAATTAATTTCACAGCTGCTAATGATAAGTATTTTTACTTTTCCGCACACCTAACACGTGTACGTAGGCTGCTATTTATATTTCTAGAATTGGCAATACTGACGTTGCTAGATGCAAACCATTGTCATATTCGTTAAGTTTGAAATTTTGTAGCCTAAACATCCTCAGAACGTTCTGTAGCCATTTTTGATAGAAAACGATTGCGTTGTATATGCTTTTCTAGAAATATATGGAGCAGCCCTCGTATCATAAGTTTTTGCACAAATAACAGGCGTTTATTACGCAGCATTAAAAAGTTGAAAAATGTCAACCCACGCACGCAGTGCATTTATCGGTAGCTCGAGACTACTGTCAAACCTAATTCGACATAATACAATCATTCGCAATGTCGTACAAACTGGATTTGCGTAAGTCTGTTTTGGACTGCTAAGTACAAAAGAAATTCTTCGTTTATTCAAAGACAAGCCAATTTCTCGTCGAACCATTTATATTGTTTTGCAGGATTGTCGTGATGGTAAGAAACTGAAATGTGCTGTCCATTTTTCTATTTTAAATATTTGTTTTTATCATTTTTATTTGGCTCGGTTAAAAAAATGCAACCTGTCAAGTCAGCTGTCAATACTCCCAAATGAATACAAATACAACATAGGCGGCGTTCAAATTGAAAGAGTCTTTATAATGAGGGATTTGGGAGTGTTGCTTGATGTGCAAATGACTTTCAAATCACACATTGAGCATGTCACTGCTAAAGCCAAATCAAGACTCACTTGGTTAAAGTTCTACAGCAGGGATTTTGTCGACCCATGGACAATTAAACGCCTTTATTTTACATTTGTATTACCAATTATCGAATACGGTTCCGAAATATGGAATCCACACTACGAAAATATGTGCAAAAGAATAGAGTCAATACAAAAGCAATTTTTACTTTATGCGCTAAGGAGAATGAACTGGGACAGCTATAGACTTCCGAAATATGAGCATAGACTGCTGTTTTTGCAAATGATTACGCTTGAGGAGACACGCAAGGTGGCGCAAGTGTCTTTCATCTTCAAAATTATTCATGGAGATATGAAGTCAACTCATATATCAAATAGTTTGAAATATTACGATTCGGCGCATAATACCAGAGCCACACCGCT